AACTAATAACAACAACATACTAAATTCAGTGCAACATACACTAAATTGCATCCACTACTTGATCTTGAAGCACATGAGAACAGAAAACATCCCATGATATATTATGTTATTATTAGTAAGTCCGCTTAGCTCCTAAAATTGGCCGCCATTACTCCCATTAGCCCAGCATGTCAATTCCATGCAATAATATAATGTGTTAAATCAATTATCCATCTAACAATCAGTATTTTGAACTCTAGTGTGAGTTGACATGTGCATGTAGTGTTAATAATATATTATTTTAAGATGCATCTTTTAAGAAGTCATATAAGTTTGCATTTAAAATTTTAAACACGTATTTATTCTAATAAACAGTGTTTTGAACTCTATTGAGGGCCTATTTGATTTTTTTTTTTTTTAAATGATTGCATGAATGCCGACTTGCCGTGTAAATGATCGAATTAATAATAGTTTAATATAATCCAACTTGAGTTTCTCTACTTCCAGATCAAATTTTTTCGAACAACCAAAATTTTCCGACAACTTTGATAGATGGAAAGTATGACTTTTTTATAAAGATTTTCAAAATTTCCGAACACTTTAGACGGTGTTTGCAAAAGATAAAAATTTTGTTAATTAATTTCCATCAATTATTATTATTATTATTATTATTATTATTATTATTATTATTATTATTATTATTATTATTATTATTATTATTATTGACTAGAAATTACAAAATTTTCAGCAATATAATAATGACCTAGCTAGGAATAGCATATGGAAATTAGTTTGCAACTTCGATCTTGTTGGGAGATATATGATATGAGATACGGTCATACGGAGTATAAGAATATGAGTGAATAGCGGAGATAACCATTTCAGCTCCCTGCCTCATCTTAATTAGAATTGGATGGAAAACAAGCTATGAGCTATCACTTTATGCAAATAAGGATTAAATATTAAAATATATATTATTAAGATGGATATTAATTATTTTCTATAAATGTCTAAATGATACATACACCCACGGACCTTTAATGATAAATACTACATAATGATAAATCACTTGGATCTAATACATGCATGCTTAATTGCAAATAAAACAATAGTACCAGCAACGACTTATGAGTGCAAGGACGAGTAGATATGATGAGGCAACCTTGGCTTTGCAAGAGCATTGAGAGGGTTGGCAAGAAGGATACTATCTTTTGACTCCCTCAGATCTACTCTTCCACCAGGGGGCACACTCCATTCAAACCCTTGAAGAAGCCTACCCAGCAACATCCCGCTAACCAAACACCCTAGTTGAACACCGGGACATCCACGCCTTCCAGCACTAAACGATAAAATCTTCACGTCTGGATCAACCAGACTCACTTCTGATCCGTCATTTTTCAAGTGTCGTTCTGGCTTGAACTTGAGAGGCTCCTCCCAAATCCTAGGGTTCCGCCCTAGCCCGTGCCGACTTATCATCACATGACTACCTTTGGGGATGAAATAGTTGGACAGGGTTGTGTCAGAAGAACATAGGTGGGGAGGAACAAAAGATGACAATGGATGAATCCTAAATGCTTCCTTTAAACATGCGTTAAGGTAGTTTAGCCGAGGAAGATCCGATTCTTGTACTAGTCTTTCTTTTCCCACGACGTTATCAAGTTCTTCCGTGGCTCTTTTGAGGATTTCTGGTTGGTTTAACATTTCTGCTACAACCCATTCCACCACATTTGATGGATTGTCCACAATTGTTATCATTAGTTCCTGGAATAATAATAATATGAATAAAAAGATTAGATGTATGGTCATAAAAAACAATCATGAATATCATCAAAACCTGAAATATATAATAATATATACTTACAAGAATTTGTGCCTTAATCTCTTCAGATGTTAATAATGGTTTACCATGGACATCCTTGATCTTGATAAGAACATCAAGAAGATCTTGTTGCTCATCATCATCAGTTTTGGTCCCATCCTTCCACATCTTAATCCTTTCATCAACTTCAGGATCTTGGTACTTCCTAACTCCATTCACAGCTTTCTGGATGGCTTTCCTATGACCTTCCAAATCAAACATCCTTAGCCAAGGAAAGAAATCCGAGACCCCAAAGGAATACAAAAGATCAAGAACTCCAAAGGTGGCATCAACGTGCTCTTCGTCCTCCACGCCAGGCCCTCCATCTTCCATCCCGGCCCTGAAATACCTCTTGCTGAACACCATCTGCTTCATGACGTTCCCACAAAAGTGTTTCCCCGCCTCCCTCACATCTACTACACAACCACCTGCGGCGGCGTTTCTACGACATTGATTGTAGATGTAACGTACGAGGTGGTCGGCTTCCATGTCCCGCTTGTGAGATAGCCAGTTAAGGGCCTTGGGAGAGACCACATGAGACGTAAGAACTCTCCTCATTTTCTTCCACTGCTCACCCAAGGGAGCAACCACGGATGTCAAGTAGTTACTACTGATTAGCTCCGCCGACATGCAGGTCGGCCTTGACGCAAACACGGAGTCTTGTTTCTTGAGTACCTCTCGTGCCACCTCGGGGGAGGTTACTGTAATCACATTGGTTCCCCCAAGGTTGAAGCAAGCGATTTCGGTGTTCATCTCTTCCATCATATTCAGCATCCACTTGAAAACAGGCTTGTTTCTAAGCAGCTGAGGGAAGCATCCCACTATAGGCCAGGCCATTGGGCCTGGAGGGAGTCGGAGCTTATTAGCTTTCTGTTTACGTACTATCCATGAAAAAAGAAGAAGCACAGAGATGATGATTAAAATCATCATCAGAAGAAGAGTTGATGACATTTTGTATGTACTAAAATCTTTAGTTCTCGATCTGAATATATGTAATAGGTTGGTAGGAGTTGATGTTTTGAACTAAATAAGCATATGTTCTCCATTTATAGATCACCAATTTGTTCAGGAAGTTAATTTTCTAATTTTGTAATGACAAGTTGCTATATTATATTTGGTCATAATCTGATAGATATTACCTAGATACGATCATTTAATTAATTACTATACGACTGATGTTTCATTTTAATTTATTAATCGTAAAATATCACATGTGTTTTAATTGCTTGGCCAAAGAAGTTAGTGGGTTGCCTCACTATAAACCCAAAGACTAAATGCCAAAATAAGTAAGTAATTTTTTTTTTTTTGAAAAGAAATAAGTAATTAAAATGTGATGAACCGACGATGTAACTGTATTGCTGTTGTTATATCGTGTGTGGAGTGTGGACCATGGTCTGAAAACGGCACCATTTATTAAAGTAAGAAGTGACAGTTTTTAAATTTTAATAAATTTTGTATTTTTGGTGGATTAATAACAAAATGAAATTACCCTGTATCTTAAATGAAAATAAATAACTTATCTCGCATATTGTGTTTATATTATTAAATTAAACTGTAATTGAATTGAAATGATATTTTAGTTATTTTGAAATGAAACTGCAGTATGTATAAAATAAAGTAGAATAACTTGTCTCACATATTGAATGTATATTGTCAAATAGAATTGTAGTTGTATTGAAATGATACTTTAGTTTTGCTAAAATGAAACTACAATATATATAAAAAAAAACTGAATAACATGTCACGCATATTGAGTATGACCTTCTATTTGAGAGAGCTCCTTCGTGCCACTAAATCACAAAGTCATTGTCAATCAAAGAAATATATAATTACAAAAATATTGAGTCACACACTTGCATTTTGTTCCACAATAGCGCAATTCTTACCATTAGCATTATTATTGTTTTACCATTTTATGCGCCATGCAAATCATGCATGCATATTTGCATGGTATACACCTTATTGCCAAACTAGCAGCACTCACTATATTATATTATATTATATGTATTACATCTCATTCACTCATTCTACCTTATTAATTGAATGAACTTATCGCATCAAGCTACCATATTTTCCATGTGAATTATATTTTATTTCCTTGTATATATCATCAACTCATTGCACTTTATCGTCCGATCAAACCTCATCAAATCAAACATAAATTCACGCCGGAAAGGAATTTGATCAAAAGTTAACCAGTCAATTAGAATACTGCATCTATATCTCAACAAGAAAATCAACTTTATTTATTCTATAAATTATATAGGGATAAGTATCAAATAAATCGTATGTTTGAAATATTTTTTAAAAACACAATTAGGGCCACCATTTAGGACCATAAACTTGAAAAAAATTACAATTAGGTATCGATCCACAGAAAAGTGGCACATATCAAGCACTAGTTACTAATATATTCATGAGAAGTTAATCCTAACGAAGAAAGTGATTAATTAATTGTAAAACTAATTTAAAAGTAAAGTAGCATGTTTGTGAAAACAATAGAGAGAGAATGAGATTCCTGAAATTCAAGTATTTAATCACCTCGTGCCAATCTTGGACAATATAAAATCTGGGTTTAAACAAGTGTGAGAATGCAAACAAGGGCAAGAGTTACTCCCGTAATCTCTAACCTAAATAAATATCCACTCCCGTGATATAAACACACAACAATATAAGAACAAGCATTCAATAAAAATTCCTAACCATTACCATTTCCCGATGTGCAATAATCAAGAATTAAATTCCTTAACAAATATGTCCTCACCCAAGGTGCAACACTTAAGTGCAATTGTGTGTGCTCTCAATTATACCCTAACTCCCATTAAGACATAAAGATAGCTGTGAAACAAGTTATCATGGCCACTAACTACTTGCATCAACAATAAGAAATCACAATTGCAACACAAGTATAAAACCCAAACATCAATATATTAAGAATCTGAGAACTACGAACATAGGTTCATAAACACGTTTACCCAAGAATCATTAAGAAAATTTAGCCACACATGGCTAATATAGAATCCACAACAATAATAAAGAGTTTACAATGAATCAAAGAAAGTAAAAGAATAAACCAAGTGATTCTCTCAAATCTCCCAAGATTTTCTTCTTTCTTCCCAAGGCAACTTGTAGCTCTTGATTCTCTTTCAACAACCTTGACATACATATTCATATTACGAAAGAGTATAACCAATTAGAGATCAAGTTTACATGCATCACATCCATCATCTTTAATTATTATTAATAGTACATATAATTTTATGAGCAACCTAGATTGATTTATCTTTTTATAGTTCTTTGTTGACTAGGAATATAAAGTGAGACTTATCCGATACATACTTTCGGATAATGATTACAGGTTTCCCTCCTGACCCAAAATAATACATATAATTTAATCCAAAGATGAGTAGATGTAGTGAGGCAACCTTGGTTTTGCAAGTGCATGGAGAGGGTGTGCCAGAAGGAGACTATGTTTCGACTCCCTTAACTCAATTCTTCCACACTGCACCCAATCAAACCCTTGCACAAGCCTAGCCAGCAACATGCTACTAACCAAAGAACCTAGTTGAATGCCCGGACATCCTCGTCTTCCAGAACTAAACGATAAAATTCTCAACTCCGGGTCAACAAAGCTCACTTCAGACCCATCATTCTTCAGGTGGCGCTCCGGCTTGAACTTGAGGGGCTCCTCCCAGACCCTAGGGTTCCGCCCCAACCCAGGACGGCTTATTATGACATGACTACCCTTGGGTATGAAATAATTGGAAACAGTTGTGTCGGAAGTACATAGGTGTGGAGGAACAAAATCCCCAAATGGATGAAGGCGAAACGCTTCCCTTATACATGCGTTGAGGTAGTTCAGCCTTGAAAGATCAAATTCTTGTACTAGTCTTTCCCTTCCTACAACATTGTCTAGTTCTTCCGTGGCTTTTCGGAGTATCTCAGGCTGGTTTAGCATTTCTGCTAATACCCATTCCGCGGCATTTGATGGATTGTCCAAAGTTCCTATCATTAGTTCCTGCAAAACATACATATGAAAGTATATATCATGAATATCCAAAGCTAAAAATAAAGCTACAAATATAAAACCAAAAAATATATATAATTGTAAATTAAAGCAATCACAATTTGAAATCAGATAGAATGCATTGCACCGCAACTCAGAAAGCAAGTCCAGTATCCTGTTATTGAAAAAAGTGATGCTGACATACTATTACACAAATATAAGGAAATAAAGTTGTCTACTTTGCTACCACCAGCAATAAATACTGATTCTAAGAGTGTATAATTATACTTACAAGAATTTCTGCTTTAATCTCTTCGGGTGTCAATAATGGACTTCCATCAATATCCTTGAGCTTAATAAGAACGTCAAGAATATCTTGTTGCTCAGTTTTAGTCCCATTATTCCACATCTTAATCCTAGCATCGACTTCAAGATCTTGGTGCTTCCTAACACCTTTTACAGCTCTCTTGAGGGCTTTCCGATGGCCATCCAAATCAAACATCCTTAGCCAGGGTAAGTAATCTTAGATCCCAAAAGAATACACATAAGCAAGAACACCAAAGGTGGCATTAACGTGCTCCTCTTCCTCCACGCCGGGCCCGCCGTCTTCCACCCCTGCGCCGAAATGCCTCTTGCTGAACACCATCTGCCTAACCACATTCCCACAGAAGTGTCTCACCGCCGCCCTCACATCCACTACTCCGCAACCTGCGGCGTTTCTACACTGATTGTAGATGTAACGTACGAGGTGGTCGGCTTCTGCCGCCCGCTTGTGAGCCAGCCAGTTAAGGGTGTTGGGAGAGAGCACATGAGAGGTAAGAACTCTCCTCATTTTCTTCCACTGGTCGCCCAGAGGGGAAACGAAGGAGATCAAATAATTACTGCTTATCAGCTGTGCCGACGCGAAGGCCGGCCTTGACGCAAAAACCGCGTCTTGTTTCATCAGTATCTCACGCGCCACCTCCGGCGATGTTACTGAAATCACATTGGTTCCCCCAAGGCGGAAGCAGGCGATTTCGGTGTTCATCTCCTCCATGAGATTGAGAATCCACCGGAAAACCGGCTTGTTTCTAAGCATTTGAGGGAAGCATCCCACTACAGGCCATGACTTGGGGCCTGGAGGGAGTGGGAATTGCTTAGCAGCTTTTTGTTTACTTAGCCATTTGTATGAGAGAAAGACTACTGAGATTGATGATAAGAATGAGAAGCTAATAATAAGCATATCAATTATCCCCATTGTAGCAAGCTTGTACCAAATCTTAGCTTCAAACTTTCTGAACGGGGTTTTAGTTGATTCTTTGTACTAAGCATATATGATCTCCTTTTATAGATCATGATTTTGTACAGGAAGTAAAATTTTGTACACGATACACATTCATGTCCATTACTTTATATGCATGGACTATTGGCATTGTAAACGTTTTCAAGTGAGGTGAGTGTAGCATGATTCACATTAGTTTGTAGGGATTTGGGGCATTATTGAACGACAACAAGGAAGTTTTCACGTACAGCTTCCCTTGTCCACTAGAAGTTTGCTGACTTTCTCTTGCGCGTGCATTAAAACATGATAGGTTTTGAAACCAACAAATTAAAGCTATTTTGTCTAAAAGTGGAATGTATGTAGGCAAAGTATATGGTAGAATATATCATATTAAGTTTAATTCTATACATATATGTAGTTATGTAGTTAACAATTTCATTTAATTTAAGATTATTCACTCACATCCCAATAGAAGAGAAATTATATATGGCAATATAGAAACACACTATACAATGTAATATTAGTATATTACTCACTTCCACAGTTCCACGGATGACTAGTTGATTTTTTAGAAACAATTTTCTGTTCCCAATTTTTTTTAAGAAAAAAAAAAACGATTCAAGTATCCACAACCATAGACGTCGTTTACAGGGCCAGACAGCCATGTCCGCCAACTGTCCAAGAACGTCAAAACATTGTTTGTTAGAATAGATATCTAATCCAAACATGTGTTACTTCTGACTTCTCAACAGTGATTTACTTGTCGGTCATCTCCAATTCAAAATATCAAATTCTACATCATATTTCACACCAAAAAGAATATTTCTAACATATTTATACATCAATTTTTTTTTCATCTCCAACCCATTTACATCGAATTCTGCACCAAATTTTATTTCATCTCCAATTCATTTATACCAAATTCTTTTTATATACTAAAATAATTTGCATTGTATTCTTAAAATTTAAAACATTAATTTTGTTTACTTAAATTATTTTAATATAAAATATAATTTTGATATAAATAAGGGAAAATGCCAAAATGTCAAATAGGCCCCTGAACATTTCACGAAAAGTCAATTAGGTCATCGAACTTTCAAAAACTACAATTAGATATAGATACATAAACTTACGATTTTAGCTCAATCTACCCCATTAGCCGGTTAACCATCAGGTTACTTCCGGTAAATGCCCATGTGGCAGCTTACTTGGCAAAAATATTAACGGGAACTTGATGAGTCGATCCACCTACACGTCTTGCTTTTACTGTTATATCGGGAGTAACTCCACGTATTGCTTGACGTAAAACGGATTGTGGATTTGTTTCTGTTTTTTGTTGAATCTTTTTCACAGCTCCAGTCACGTAAGTATAAGTAAAAACGCATAAATTATACGTCGTTTAAGATCATATTCCACTTTGCAAGATAGACCCTAATCCATGGAATAACAACTATGCATGGAAAGGCTGAGCCAAAAGTCAATAATTCAAGGCTTCTGGCCCGTCATACTAATAATTAATATGTTATCACTTTTGGAGAATATAATTCACATAATAAATGAGTAGGTGAGTGGTCATATTGAGTCATTATTATTACTATTATTATTTTGAATGCTACTGACTCTATTACATTGTAGTATCTGTTTAAACATACTTTCTCAATCTAATGAAGCACAACGAGTCAACAATGCCTCCATTATTATTATTATTATTATTATTATTATTTTGAGTAGTACTATACCAATCTTAATTGTGTGAGCGAATTTATATTCTCCTAACTGCTTTTGGGGCGTATAAGACTTTATTACAAAGCAGTAGAAGTTTTTCACCGCAATATTTGGGCAATAGTAAAAGTTAGAAACAGTAGAGGTTTTAGTAACATTAAAAATTCTAGAGTTTGATAATTAAGCAACGTAACAATGTAACCTTACTTATAAGTAGTAGAAGATTCTTTAAGGACATCTATGACATTCTCTATTCAAATAAGGTACGGGATATTCTTACTATTAAAAGTGGAAGTTGACACAACATCCAATGAAGAAACTTACCCAAACAAGTAAAGGTGCTTAGAAAATAATAAAAGCTATATTTCTAGGACAAGTTGTATACAATTGTTGGACAAAAGTTTAGTTTTAGAAGTAATAAAAGTTAGATTTTCAAGACAAGTTGTATACAATGGTTAGACAAAAGTTTACATCTGTCAAGTATTGACAGATTATGTTATTTGCAAATTAATCGTTCAAATATGTTTCCTTTCAATGGACAAATTCAAAATCTTATTATAATATGAAGAATGTTGAAAGGTAAAGTATGAGATACATAAGAATTATTAAAAAATACGTGTGGTTGTTAGAAACGTACAACCCGCGTCAAATTTAAAAAACTAATAACAATAACATACTAAATTTAGTGCAACACTAAATTACATCCACTTCATCTTGAAGCACATGAGAACAGAAAACATCCCACGATATATTATGTTATTATTAGTGAGTCCGCTTGTACTAGCTGCTTAAATTGGCCGCCATTAGCCCAGCATGTCAATTCTATGAAATAATATAATGTGTTAAATCAATTATCCATCTAATAATCAGTATTTTGAGCTCTAGTGTGAGTTACTATATTACAATGTAATATGTTGACGTGTGCATGTGTTAATAATATATTATTTTAAGATGCATATTTTGAGAAGTTATACAAGTTTGCATTTAAAATTTTAAACATGTACATATTTTAACAAACAGTGTTCTGAACTCTATCGAGGGCTTATTTGATTTTTTTTTTCAAAAAAAGAAAATGATTGCATGAATGCCGACTTGCCGTGTAAATGATCGAATTAATAATGGTTTAATATTAATCCAACTTGGGTTTTTTTACTTCCAGATCAAATTTTTTCGGACAACCAAGCATCATCTTAATTAGAATTGGATGGAAAATGAAAACAAGCTAGTGTGAGCTATCACTTTATGCAAATAAGGATTAATATTAAAATATGTATTATATATTAAGAATGATACATACACCCACGCACCTTTAATGATATGATAAATACACAACGATAAATCAGTTGGATCTAATACGTGTAAAACAATAGTAGCAGCTACGACTTATGAGTGCAAGGACGAGTAGATATGGTGAGGCAACCTTGGATTTGCAAGAGCATTGAGAGGGTTGGCAAGAAGGATACTATCTTTTGACTCCCTCAGATCTACTCTTCCACCAGGGGGCACACTCCATTCAAACCCTTGAAGAAGCCTACCCAGCAACATCCCGCTAACCAAACACCCTAGTTGAACACCTGGACATCCACGCCTTCCAGCACTAAAGGATAAAATCTTTACCTCCCGATCAACTAGAGTCACTTCTGACCCGTCATTTTTCAGGTGTCGTTCTGGCTTGAACTTGAGAGGTTCATCCCAAATCCTAGGGTTCCGCCCTAATCCGTGCCGACTTATCATCACATGACTACCTTTGGGGATGAAATAGTTGGACAGGGTTGTGTCTGAAGAACACAGGTGTGGAGGAACAAAAGATGACAATGGATGGATTCGAAATGCTTCCTTTAAACATGCGTTAAGGTAGTTTAGACGGGGAAGATCCGATTCTTGTACTAGTCTTTCTCTTCCCACAACGTTATCAAGTTCTTCTGTGGCTCTTTTAAGGATCTCTGGTTGGTTTAACATTTCTGCAACAACCCATTCCACCACATTTGATGGATTGTCCACAATTGTTATCATTAGTTCCTGGAATAATGATATGAATAAAAAGATTAGATGTATGGTCATATATAAAAAAAATCATGAATATCATCAAAAGCTAGCAAAAATATATAATAATATATATACTTACAAGAATTTGGGCCTTAATCTCTTCAGATGTTAATAATGGTTTACCATGGACATCCTTGATCTTGATAAGAACATCAAGAAGATCTTGTTGCTCATCATCATCAGTTTTGGTCCCATCCTTCCACATCTTAATCCTTTCATCAACTTCAGGATCTTGGTACTTCCTAACTCCATTCACAGCTTTCTGGATGGATTTCCTATGACCTTCCAAATCAAACATCCTTAGCCAAGGAAAGAAATCCGAGACCCCAAAGGAATACAAAAGATCAAGAACTCCAAAGGTGGCCTCAACGTGCTCTTCGTCCTCAACACCAGGCCCTCCATCTTCCGTCCCGGCCCTGAAATACCTCTTGCTGAACACCATCTGCTTCATCACGTTCCCACAAAAGTGTTTCCCCGCCTCCCTCACATCTACTACACAACCACCTGCGGCGGCGTTTCTACGACATTGATTGTAGATGTAACGTACGAGGTGGTCGGCTTCCATGTCCCGCTTGTGAGATAGCCAGTTAAGCGCCTTGGGAGAGACCACATGGGACATAAGAACTCTCCTCATTTTCTTCCACTGCTCACCCATGGGAGCAACCACGGATGTCAAGTAGTTACTACTGCTTAGCTCCGCCGACATGCAGGTCGGCCTTGATGCAAACACCGAGTCTTGTTTCTTGAGTACCTCTCGTGCCACCTCGGGGGAGGTTACTGCAATCACATTGGTTCCCCCAAGGTTGAAGCAAGCGATTTCGGTGTTCATCTCTTCCATCACATTCAGCATCCACTTGAAAACCGGCTTGTTCCTAAGCAGCTGAGGGAAGCATCCCACTATAGGCCACGCCATTGGGCCCGGAGGGAGTCGGAGCTTATTAGCTTTTTGTTTACGTACTATCCATGAAAAAAGAAGAAGCAGAGAGATGATGATCAAAATCATCATCATCAGAAGAAGAGTTGATGACATTTTGTAAGTAAGTAAATCTTTAGTTTTCGATATGAAGGAGTTGATGTTTTGAACTAATTAAGGACATGTTCTCCTTTTATAGATCACCAATTTGTTCATGAAGTTAATTTTCTAATTTTTTTAATGACAAGTTGCTATATTATATTTGGTCATAATCTGATAGATATTAGCTAGATAT